TGATATGGTGGTGTGATTGTGCTGTTAGATACAGTGGTGCCTGGTGGTTTAACAGTTGCTTTCAATCTCATCCCAATGGTCCTTACTATACTAATCCAAATGGAGCTGGTACCTGGTTTGGAATCATATGGTATGATTGGAAAGGAGTTGGGTATAGTCTGAAGTTTACAGAGATGAAAACACACCATAACAACTAATGTGTGATTAATGTGATAGCATTGTGTAGAATTGGTTAGTGATTACATGTGTTACTTAGTGACCATTCTTTTATTTATATAATTGTAACAACGACATGTGTATAAGTGTATTGCTAACAACACTTGAGTTCTGTGGATGGTGTAGTTTAATCAACATGTATTTCTATGCTTAGATTCAATTTTTTGTTGGTTTTATTGTTGTCGTCATTGTTATAATAATAATAATAATAATATTGATACATGCAATACCATATGTATATGTATAGCAGTTCCCTTCTTAGAGAACCCATCACATTTAAGCACCCACAATAACTAAGACCATTTTAAATCAAAGTACATGTACATAATATGCATGTACACGTAACTTACTTTGACATTAAACTTGTATTGACCAAGCCATCCATATAGACAAACCCACCAAAGAGTATGCCTCAATCAGAACTGAACAATATTGCTTCTATCAATCCAGCATTGTAACCCCACCCACCACCATGAGCTACATGTACAATAAACAAACAAATGAATAAATAAAAAATAAAAAATAGATACATGTAAATAAATAAAATAATAATATTTGCCAAATTTGAATTATTGTAGGTACTATATACAGTAAGGAATGCAATTGGTACACTAGATGCTGTCTGTTAAGTGGAGGTGTATGCTATAAAGATTATTCATTAAGAGAGACTATACGGTACATGTACATGTACATGTAGATAAATAGCTAAGGGAATACAATTGTACATGCATGACCTGTTACTACTACTGAACTTACAATTAAATCTTGAGACAATGTGACAGTTGTCAACAGAGAAAGCTTGCAATGATAAAAGAGGATTAGTGGAGAGTCTGTAATGATGATAAGAGATTGATTGAAGCATGGAACCTAATTGTGATGACAGAACCTTTAGACTGAGGGAGACATACATGTACATTAAGTACCCTCTAAATCTGGAGAGAGGGAGGGAGAGGAAGAGAGCGAAAATTATTGTACACAGAAGATACATGTATGTCATTAAACAATTAAGTAAACTGTGTGTGCATATGTATACATGTGCATGTCAAGAGTTATGAACTATAAAGTATGGAGGAAGAGGAGAAAAGAATGGAGGAAGAGGTAAAAATGAAGGAAAAGAGAGAAAGAGGTCAAGCTACTCAGTCTTAACATACAAAATGTGAATTGCATGTTTCGTTTCATGTACATATACATTTATGCACATATACATGTAACTACAATAACAGTGTGTTGGTATGATGTATGCTCACATTAAATAAAATAACAAATACTATATAGTGCATGGAGGGAAAACGGGGAAGGAGGAAAGGGGAAAGTTAGGGGAAAGGGAGAAAGAGGATCATTTCTAACCTTTAACTTCAGCTGCAACAGAATTATAACAACTTATTTTAAAACTGTTCTCATCAAATCTCCACAGTACATTATACTCTGGATCAATGCACAGACTCCTTCCACTGAGACACTCCTACTCATCACCATCTAACCTATTGAAGAATACATGTACATGTAATGTCACATGATAATCACATGATTAAAACATGTAAATGTACAAGTACATACATGTCATGTATGTACTTGTACACATGCATAAATAAAAAAAAAACAAAATAAAAAACAGTTTTTAAAAAAATAAATAAACAGTCTACACATGCATGTAGACTGATTATTGCATTACATGCAGGCTTAAAACAAAACAAAAAGTTTACTATCATACATGTGCATGTACATTGTACATGTACATCAGTACTAATCTTTTAAATGGCTCCGAAATCATCCTAAATTTTATTGTACATGTATGTATTGATGTCCTTATGCTATGCAGAAAGTTAGAGCTGATTTGGGCTTATGCTTTTTGAGTTACAGCCAATTAAAAAAATGCCTAAGTTCTGAAAAACACACAATGGCTCCAAAATCACATCATTTTTTACTATTCTGATACATATTGATGTCCTTATGCTGTGTAAGATCTTTGAGCTAATCCTGTCTTTAATTTTTTAAGTTACAGCCATCTTAAAGAAACACTAAAATTCCTAAATCACACCAAACTTTTTATTACATTTTCTGACACATACTCATATCCTTATGCTGTTTAGAAAGATTGAACCGATGTTGACTTGAATTTTTTGAGTTACAACCACATGTTTTTTAAGACAATGCCAAAATTCCCAAGATACACTGTAAATATAGCCTTATACTTATAGTTTAAAAATACTGTACATGAGTCATGAGTAAATAAAATCATCACAATATTCTTCTCCATAACAGCAATGTATGTACATGTACATGTAAATATACATGTACAAGTAAAGTGTACACAACAACAATAGCTAACTTTTAAGATTCTAAAGTGCTTGGATTGATGACTTGACTTCATTTCATCAGTTGAAGGAGGCTGGCAACAAACCTACATGTGTCATAATAATTAACATTTTACATGCATACAATATGGAATACAATGTACGTGTACATGTAAATCATAATTTTAATCCTTACAGAATGTAAAAAAGTAATCTTCCGGCCTTTTTGTTGTGAAACTCACTCAAGGACTCATAAACGCAAAACTAAAAATCATTTTAGTAAAATCCAAATCTGATTGCAACCAGCTCAAAGTTCGTACATAACATACATATATTTACACTTACATGTACAAAATATAAACACAAGAACATGTACATGTACATGTACACAATAAAATGTAGAATTTCTTTCTAATAAAAATTGGCCAGCGTATGCATGTACATGTATATTGGGAGTGAGCCAATCTTTCAGAAAAAGAATAACTAAGATTCATGTATTTTGGCATAAGAATGGTCATACATGTACATGTAGCTCAAAAAAATTAAGTTGGAATCTGCTCAAACTTTCTACATATAGCCTAAGGGCATCAATGTGTATCAAAAAATACAATAAAAATTGGGAGTAACTTCAGAGTCATTTTTTTTAAAACCATGGTATCAAGGAATTTTTCAGATTTTGGCACATTAAAAAAATGATCCTAACTCGAAATAAATTAAGTTGGAATCAGCTCAAGCTTTCTACACAGCATAAGTACATCAATACTATTAATTGTTATATTGATATTTATTTACTTCTTCCTTCATCTTCATCTTCTTTCCTTGATTCCTTCAAGCTCTTTTTCTTCTGTAATGTAACTATCTTCATGTAATGGAGTCAATGAAGTCTTCACTCCAATCTCTTAATAAAAATAAAGAAATAAATATTATTAATATTAGTAATTGGGCAAAGCCCTTACTCACAAGAATTTGTCTGTATGTACATACATTTGGGTGTGACTGGGTGGTGAAGTCAGGAGGTGGAGGCCTCAATGTTTTATATTCTTTCTAGTATATACATACCAATGGGAGGAGCCTCCTCTAGTGCTGCAGTGCTGTTTCAATTCTACATTGTCTTAAAAATAATTTAAAATAATTTAACCAACAATTTTATGAAATAATATTAAAATTATCCCGTATTAAAAATAATGATAATCATTATCGCACCTTTCCCTCTGTTAATCTACTCACACAATCATTATAACTTACTTCAAAATTAATGTCAAATGTTCTATAGCTCTTTGTCCCAATCTCTTTACAGTATTTGCATATAGTTAGCTTCTCCATTTTTATCCACACACCATCACCAGGCAGCAAGACACTCCCTAAGAGCAGCCCCCCTATAATGAGTATGTTGTAAGTTGGAGAGTGCTGGTTGCTGATACAGTCCTAGTTCTAGACCCAGTCCCTCCCAGTTTCTGTTGAAATGAGCATCTCACAGTAAATTCAATACTTTTTGAAGATCATGTGATATCAAGTGTCTGTTGAGCTAATATATAAAAAATCAATACATTTACATTTGGCAATAGTTTTTTCCCGTTTCCCTCCACATTTATCAACTAACAGTCAATTAAAATTAAACTGATACTAACTTACATTGTTTAGTACTAAGGCTGAAGGAGTGGGTTTTCTGTATCAGTGTGTTTACGTATAGTACTGAGCCCTAGCATGATGTCTCATAATGAATTGATCAGCTGTCCTCTTCAGTGTAGGCTTTAGGATTGGTCCTCAAGCAGAGGTCTCTCCTGTTCTATGGGGGCCAGATTTTTCAAATACAGTTCCAGTACTGAGTACCCTAGTCTCAGCCACTTTGCACCAGCGTGTATGTTTACAGATGTAGTATCTATGGTGTGTTAGAACCTCCTTTAGCCTCCATTGCTCGCTCCATTGTGTCAGTCAGTATCATACATGATACAATATGTACAGATCGAGGTATAGATGATTGTGTTAAGTCCAGAACACACCCACTTAATGTGTGAGTGGCTTCTAATTAAGGTGTGGGATTATGCCAAAAAAGACTATTGTTATTAGCATACATGTAATCACAAAGGAATTGAAAAAGAATTATAAATGATGCAACAAAATTAATAGTCCTATACTGTACTCTATCATGTAAGCATAACAACAAAATAATGAATAGATACTATAATAAAGAAATTAAAATTCTAAAAGTTACTGTTGTTAATTTGATGTGTAGGAGAAGGATGGTCAGCATCCTATTGTGAACACAAAGACATTAACATTGATTAGCTTATGTAGATGTACATACCTAGTTCTTTAAGCATAACATTTCCTATCTGTTTCATTGATGCACCTTGCTTAATCAAAATATTACACAAATCAATTAAATACTGTCTTTCATCAAGAGAACCATCCAATTGACCCATCACATCAGTCATTAATCTATTGGCTTTAGTAGAAGCAGATACACCATCTACTGTCACTACATATTCTCTAGTCCCTTGTGTTATAAGGTCATCAGAAAGCAATTCATTAGCTACATCAGAAACATTAGCTGATATTGCTTTGGATAGCTTAGCTGAGTACTTCTGTAGTATCTCCTTTGGATCTACAATTTAAGTAAATAATATTACAGCATAATTAAGTATTGAATGAGAAGTAAGATTGCATGAATGTTTTCAACTAAGACAATTTAAGTGACATAAATGTACCTTTAATTTCTTGTGGCAAGCCAGAGCTTCCTATCTTAGATACACATCTTTGTGGAGAACCTTTACCATGAATACATTAAATTAGCATCAATAAAAAAATTTATATATTTTACTTCGCATCATAAGAGAAGTTGAATTATCACTTGAAGCGGAAGTGCTTGGTACACCAACTGTGGAATAATAATAATAATAATAATAATAATAATAATAATAATAATAATAATAACAAACAACTTACTATCAAGCCAAGACTTCCACTTTATAATCTCATGACATTTGCATATTTCTTCTGTTTTAGTGCATCTAAAGATACACCGTTCCTCATTAACTGTTACTGTGTGCTTCTCACCACTGGCCCCACTTCTATCAGGACCACCCTCACATAAACAATAAAACCGTATCTCGGGATTCTTATGACTCTCACTGAGATTGTGTTTTTTAGCTGCAGAATTGATTGCTTCAATTACATCTTTCTTTACACTGCATTCAATGCTTTGTTCCTCACAATGGATTTCAATGCAATTGACCTGTTCAACTAGAACAACGCGATACGATGACTCCCGATGATTCATTTTGATGCAATTTGAGAAATTGCTATTAATTTTTGTTGAAACAATTTTGTAGCAAGGCCCAGAAAGAAGATGAGTAACAACAGAGCAGAACAGACCCATTGGGGTAGCTTTCTTAAAGTAAAACAGCAATGGCTCACAGTCCTTATAAAGATAGATATCTGTCACATCTTTTACTGGAAGGAGAGCTGGTATGAAATATTTATCATCTATTGGTGCAGCTATTGAAAGTTCCACAAATAGATTCAGTAATTTTGTTGCAATATCATCAAATTTTAGCTTTTTTGTGATGGGATCGAGTTGTTCTTTACAAATCTCTTTAAACTCGGACTCTGAAAGAATCCCCTTTATAATACCATCCTTGTCTCCAGTGTATTTTCTTGCTTTGGAGTGAATAATATGAACATGCCCGACCAACTCCTTGAGAATGCCAATGAGACTACCTATGTTAACAAACACCAGGTCACTGCAGGCTTTGGAATCATGATAATAAATGATACTATTAATATGATGCAAAAAATTAAGAGACTCCATCACTTCATCTTTTGAAAGTTTTAAATCTTCCCCAAGACTAGTGCAGGTAGATAATTGCAAGACACCACATCCCTCTTCTGCTGCAACACGAAGTACGATATCAAAGAAGTAGTAATAAAATGGAATTTTGATTCCTTTTTTGTTTTTCTGTAAGATTTCATCCACATCATCCAAAGAACTCTTTGTGTTCTTAAAATTTTGATCGTTTCTTCTTTCTTCAACAGTTGCACTAGCAATACGACCATCAATTTCCCGTACACGAACCACATGATAAGCTTCAATTGACTCACAATCATCATTTGCATTTATTATTTCAGCCAAATTTTCTTCCAATGTGTGAGTGGACTCTACTACATCACTGCATTCATCTCCATGTGTACCAATTGTGAGAATTTGCAATTTCTCTGGAACTAAATCTCGTAGAACTTCATGATCTTTATAGCTATCCCTGAAATGTTGCATGCCCGAAGCTATTGAAGAAATTATCTGCTTTAAAACTTCTTCAATGAGTAAACTGTACTGCTCGTAATCACCAAGATTTTTTCCTTCAACATGCATCACTGCAGTAGATTGGCTAGAAAGCTCTTTTGAAATGTTAACAATGAGAATAAGAACTTGGGCAAATGGCATAAAAATTGGAAGCAACTTTTGAAAAGCGATTTGACCTCCTGTATCTATGAGGTATAGCCATTGAGCACCTTCAAGATGGTTTTCCTTCCTTGAACACTGCCGCACTCCATCAAGTACTTTCTCTACTTCCTTACTCAATGAACTTTCCTTTTCATCACCTAGTGCTTTGTTTCCATCACCAGGCACTCCGTCTCCATTGCCAGGTCCATTAGTCGCTTCATATTCGTCAACAAATCTATCGTCAGCCTCATCAGCTGTTTCATTTACTGTGGTCGGTTTCTTTCCATCGATACTTTTACTGACCTTATTTTCTACTGAAGAATTAATCGATTTTTCTAATGCATCTTTTTTCAACGCATTTTAAACTAATTCTTCTAACTCTGTCATATCCAATAGCTTGTATCGTTTCCCAGTATCTCGTCTGTAGCAGTAGATACCAACTCTTGGCTCAGCAATACCGGTACTTGCTTCAACGTACTTTTCATCCAGTAGAAGTGACTTGAAACAGGTTTTCCCAACACGAGCTTCACCTTGAACAACAGCTTTTGTAAGATGACATGTGACAATTGTCTGAAGTGCTTCATGATAGTGGCATCCCAGGTAATACAAAAATATATTTTTACTATAAATATATTTTATATTTTTCAGATATGTTCCACATATATGAAACTTATCAGTATTTGGCAGTATGTAATACATATAAAACATATATATATGTGAAATACATATGTTATACATAAACGACATATATTTAATAAGTTAACTGAAAAATATATTTCTTTTCTATAAAACATATATAAAATGAACATAATACATATATATTAAATATAAATATATGGTATGATATTGTATAATAAAATTATAAATATA